ATGAGGGAGATAACTGCATCTCTCCAGAGATCCAAGCACCACTGCTCAGAAGATGGTGGCAATAGCTCCTAAACTCCCTGCAGCAGTGACCCTCTCTGCCTTCAGTGTAGCAGTCGGTCATCCATTACCCATGTGGAACTTAGATGACCTGCTCTGGACTCCTGGCATTCTTCTGGCAGGAAACTTAGTGTGTAGCATTGTAATCAACAATCTAGAAACCTGGAAATTGAGTTGAGCCTTAATATTAGAACTGACTGGTACTAAAAAAGCATCAACTATGGGCTTTATTTTGCATAGTATCTTGTCTGCAGCTGCTTCACAGCACCTTGTTCTAGTGTGCACTTCCCCTTCAGTTCTGAGGGCTTCATACATTTATTGAGTGTGAAAAGCCTTTTGCTTTAATTCTGGAGGGATGGTGATGCCAACTTCAACCTCCCATCTTTCTGCTCCTCAGCTAGACAAGCTTGGTGAGTGTCGTTGCATATACAAGTCAGGCACCCAGTTAATCAAATCAAACTTTATTCCTGTGAATTCCTACACCAACATATAAAGTTCTGAGCTGAACAACTGACATGTACAGCTTAAGCAGCTGTGAGTGGAAAAATTACTGCTTACATCAAATTCAAAAGGTAAACTCTCACAATGCATGTCTGCTTCAGCTACCAGCTTCTTGCTGTAGGTTCAGTTCTAAATATCCCGCTTCTCTTGAAGCTTCAACTTCTGTATTAAAAACTGCAGCCATCAGCTTTGAAAAATGAAAGCAAAGACAAATCTAAGAAATAGATTGAAGTATTCCACTGATGTGGAGTCAGTCCTCACCTTTTCATAACTATTAGAAACATATACAAATATACTATTTCTCTGGGGTAGGCAACTTTGAAAAGAAGGGGAAGTCTAACAACTCTTAAAGCCTCACCCTCATACCTGAATTACTTAAACATTTGGCATAAATTCCTTTTAAATTACTGACTGTGCACATTATTACTGCCCCTAGTGTACTGGTCAATCAAGGTGAATTGATGCAAGAGATGCTGAAGAGTCTTCAGCCATGCCCTGCCTGTAACTGCTTTTTTCCATAGATGTATGCAAGGGAGATGAACAGTTCCTGCTGCATGAGAAGGAAGCCTGGGGGAAGCAAGAAGAGGTGGTGGAACTGCAGCAACCACCTTTCATCAAAAAGACTGTACCAGTGCCACAGTGTAGTCAGTTTAAGTGTGTGCTGGCTACACTGACAGCAGGCATTGAGACAAAAAGACTGTACCAGTGCCACAGTGTAGCCAGTTTAAGTGCGTGCTGGCTACGCTGACATCAGGCATTGAGGTGCTTTCATCTACACCTAAAGCTTCTTCCTTTCTGGGGTCTGGAAGGGCAGCTGTAACATGCAACACTGAGCTGTTCCAGCTGTGACTGCTGTCAGTCACTCACAAGCTGTGGTTGCTGTGACCAGTTGCTAATGTAGCTCTGATGATCTTGGTGGGCAGAAGAGCGCTGGTAAGCCCAGAGGGCAGCTTGGCTGTGCTTTCCACAAGGGTGGGCTGTCACTTGCAGCAGGCAGACAACGTCCCTCTGTGCAGCTCCAGGCCTGCATCATGAGCTGGGTTCCTGAGACCTGCTTTGCCTTCACCCAGAATAGGCAGTAGCTGCTGCTTACAAGCCAGAGCACGCTTGTATGAAGAACAAGCTACTTCAAGAATAAAAGTGGCATCTACAACTAGGTGTTGTTACATCACTTTGGGTAACACTGACTGCAGGGTTAATCCAGTAACATGACCAAGCAGGCATGCCCTCCAGGCCTGAGGGCAACACGAACTATCCAGTCACATGCGCTTTTTCCACTCAGCTGAAGAGACACAGCAAGCGGCAGCACTCAGCCCACGTGAGTGTATGCTACACCACAGAGACCAGGGTGTCAGTTGTCTTTAAGAGCTCAGTTCTGGCTTTCTGCTCCTCTGCAGCTTCCTGTCCTTCAAGCAGATGGACTCATTCACATCAAGGTGACTCAAACAGGAGCCTGCAAAGTTGCAATTCTGTGCTCCGAGCCAGCAGCTATTTCCAGCAGTCTCCCTTCCATTACGTGTTTAATTCAGTGGTGCTCAGTGTGCTCCAGCATGTGTTGGAAGGATTTAGAAAACAGTAAAATGCTGCCACCCACTTGTTACAAATGCTGCATGGACTCTTTAAACACAGGAACTCTACATTCTTATCTCAAATGCAGGCATATCGCAGCTCTTAGTCATACAAGGTAGAGGGTAAACACATCCTACTTTTATAAATCCATTCCCTGGAACAGAGCACATAAGTCAGATGCCAGCTGCCATGACCTAGGAAAGTCACAGAGGAGCAGCAGGGAGCTGGAGAAGGACAGGGCTCTAGCTGAGGGGCGTGTATGATCTCACTGAGTGTGACTTAGACAGGACTGGTTATTTTGAGTCAGACACTTACCAGCAGCAACTGGGAAAGCTACCCACCACAGCACAGATTTTAGAACAGTGCTTCGCCTTAAACAAGTCACAGCCTACTGCTGCATGTTCCATTAAACCCAACAGGTCAACATAACTCTTTTTAGCACCATTACAGGTCAGGAAAATACATTTATGACACACAATGTACCTAGTGCAGAATCTGCAAGATGGAGATGGTTCTGCTGGTCCAAGTCAAACAGCATGCACACATCTCTAAAATCACCTGAATTAAAAAAATTACAAGTCCTAAACTGGAGTTGAGTTCCTAAAATTAGTTCACTGATTTGGCCCTGCTCAGACCACAATGTGATCTACAGGTTTTTGATCATTTCTTTCAACAATCCTTAAACAACCTTTTGTTCTCCATGTGCCAGAAAGTGTCAGTAAGAATCTATTCGTTTCATCATAAGTTTCCGGCTGTACTCGTAGGCAAGGAAGAGTGCCCCATTGGCCAGGAATGCTCGGATCATAGTTGGCTTCAGTCCAGAATACAAGGCAAGGACACCTGGAAAGGAAACCAGAGCTGGTTAGCAACTGATTAAAATGCCTACCTGCATCAACCGCTGTGCTTTTACCTTCGAGGGACACTGAAGTCATGCTTCTGCTCAGAGGGGCATGCACACAGACACAGAGCTGAACTCACTGGTGTCACAGCTAACTGCGGTGTTACTGGATATTGATACAGAAGGAGTACCTAGAGCTGTAACAAGACGCCCCAGGCTGCCAGGCTAGACAGGACTGATTTACCAAACAGCCCCCAGTCAGCTGCATGGTGACTTCTGGAGATCAAGAAAAGTTCTGTACTGAACTTGACCTGTTCCTTCAATTTTCATGTATAGGTTTGGCCATGGGTAGTGAAGCTCATTCCTTTATCTGCTTTTAAAGCCAATAAAAGCTCCGTATGCATTAATTGTCCCCTGAACAAAGAGGCATGGCAGATGCAGTAGGTCTCGATTTCTAGATTCCAAGCTTTCCAGACTACATGAAGCATCAGTATTTCTGTTTGTAAGAAACACTTACTGTCTGTCACTAACACCTTATCAACAGACTTGACTTCTTAAGCAGTTATTGGTATCGGAGGGTACAGATTTCAATCTGCAGCCCTACAGATTCAGTTGATATGCTACATACTCACCTTCAGTTCTCACAACAGTTACAAATGTTCCCATAAAGCCTGTCTGCTTTCCAGCCATTGAAAGAACCTGAATTCGAGATTTGACACAGTCCACAGGATACACAGCAATCCACAGACAGCAGCCTCCAAAACCTCCACTTAGCAGTAAAGGAATGGGACCTAAAGTGAAGAAATAAGCTTTTATACACACCACAAAATATTCACCCACATAAATGGCACATTATCTCATCTACAGCAGTCAAAGAGAACACAGAGGAACCTGCTTATGACAAAAGAGTTCCCCCACAAACCTTTAAGTTAAAATTAAGCCACTAGTAAGTTGCAAGTCTAACCAGAAGCCAAAGGTTATAAGGAATGCCTCTTAGGTTATCAGCCATGCTAAAAAAGTATAACTCGGAATTCTGTTTTGACTGTATTAACTAAATCAACTCTGCTCCTTCCACACTTGTAATCACTTTCCAATGCTAATTGTGAAATGGTTTAGAGCAACATCACACAGTGTCGCTAATCACCTGCAGATTTATTTGGTACAGTGAAGTTACTTTGATCAGTCATTCTTCACAATACAACCTCATTTTGTATGTCAGATCAGATGTTTACAAACATTTTGCAGCAACAAAGACTAGAATGCACGCAGCTGAAATCCTAACTGCCAGCAAGACAAAGTATGATTGTGCGGTCTTTCAACAGGACACAAGCAATCTTTATTCTGGCATCTCCTCATTTTTTTCACGTCTAGTTTTCAATCTCAGTGTTCTCTTACTATCATTGTAATGACAACTAATGGTCAGCATACATTTCAGCATGTATTTGAACACACTGTTTAAGAGAATACAGCTAAAGACAGCAAAATTGCTCTAAGCAGCTGCTGAAATGAAATAGTTCAGAGTTACATTACACTGTAGTGTCAAATAGCTAAGTAGTTTTGTAATATTACTGTTAGCTCACTCTATTCTCCATCTACAATACATCCTGCTCCACTGGAAAGTGGGCACTTCACTAATTCATTACTATACATACACAAAATGAAGTCCTCCATATTCTGTATGTCCAGTTGCCTTCATTTTATGTGTATTTTACAGCTGCCGTGCATTATTAGCATATCTCCCTCCCTTATGTCCCCCACAACCGCATGAAAGGGGCACCGTACCTAATTCATCTTTCGATCTCCCAGAGGCAAAGAATGTCCGGCTCAGTTCGTATCCTCCAAAGAAGAAGAAATAGCCTGGGACTTCCCGCAGCAAAGTGCTTGACAGGCCACGGTAAAATCCCAGGGGACCATCCTTTTGAATAACACCCTTCACTACTGACCAGACTGTGCTGATAGAGAGGTTGATCCAGTTAGCGATGCTTAACAGCCAGACAATAAGAAGGTTACAGAACAGTAAGCAACTGCAGCTACAACTGAGGGTTAGATCCAGTGTGCAGCCAACAGGACTCAAGAAAGGCTTAGAACAAGATCCTGCCAGGAGCCCTTCGCTGGCACCCAGCTATCTCCAGGCTGCAACCCCCCCAGCCACAACTCGCCTCTGGTTAACGGCGCACTACAAGTGCGACACCGAGCCAATATGGAATTAAAAATAATAAATAGATACAAAAGGCTTTCAGAGATACTGGGCAGGGTGTATACTTACTTGTGTCCCTGGATTATCTTTCCTGACAACTGCATTTCATGCATGGCCTGCAGCCGGCACTTCACCAGCTCTGTGGGACAGAGGACAAGGGTGGCAAAGGCAGAGGCGAAAGAGCCTGCAGCAGCATTCTGTAGATCACTACAAAAGAGAAACTGCAGAAGGTATTTGGGCACCGACCTGCAGTGCAGTGGAGCCACTGCGCCAGCAACCAGCTTCCCAAACCTGTACTCTAAATATCAGCTAGAAAAACCGATGGACAGTCTCGGGGGAAGTCTCAAGGGAAAAGGGCAGTTACTTGAACTAGGGAGATGAAAAACCTAGCTCATCCCGTCTTCATATACAACTCGGATACATTCTTTTGACACTGGAGAAGACACACTACAACCTTTACCCTTCTTGCTATACTTAGGTGATTGCAGAAGAATAAACACTATCCAATCATCATCTTATTGGCTTGTATAAAAATTTCCGTAGACTTGTTTTCCTGCACATCTTCTGGGTCCTAGTCGCTTCCCCAAAGAGAACAGGAGCAATAATCACCTTATATAGATGCCAGTGTTCCCAAATTCACCTTACCAGCACTAACACTGGTTTTCAGTGGAAGATGCTAGAAATCTGAAACCAAGGCAGAAAGGACCACTACAATCTTTCTGTGGATGTGCTGCCATGAATGCAGCCGTGTGAACCTGAGATAGCGCAGACAAACACAAACCACACCATGGAACAGGACAGCACTGTAATCTGCATTGACTCACAGTGTTCCAAAACCAGGACTTACTCTGCGGTGGTATTACACACATCACAAAGTCTGGGCTGCTGAACTGCCAGGACTCAAAAGGCTGGTGCTCCAGGATCGTGCTGCTTCATGACACACTTTAAACGGGCTCCCACAGACACTGGGGTGTTGGACAGGAGCTGCGCAATAGCACAGAACAAGCGGAGCTTCTCTCTTCTTTCCGAGCCTGGGGAGTCAGCACAGCGGAGACTGACCTCACTGCTGCACAGAAACTCTTTCCATGCATGGGAGATGTCTGCCCTGCGCCCAGCAGTTTTATACACCTGTAGTATCAGAGATCAAAGCCACAACTTTTCACCTTACAGAAGGATCTCGGTACTAAAGCTGTGACATGAAGCAAAGCTCGTGACATAGTCAGATACGGCAGTGACAAGGACTGTCGAAGGGGAAGGAATCAGTAACTGGCTGCAGAGCAGCAACTGAACAGTACGCAGCAAGTAAGTGGCAATACTGATTGCATGACCCTTTTCCAGCACAGACAGCTTGGCTTAACAAGGATCTGAGATGCAAGCTAATAAAGCCCAAGACAGAACAAGGCAGTTAAAAACACAGTATGTGGCTAGGCCCTGCAGTCATTAAGCTATGAGATAGAGCAAGGCAATAAGGGTACTCATTAGCATAAGAAAATGCAGAAGAGGTGCCTTAAAACTATGCACTGAAGGGTGCACAGGATCCTTTCTCCTTCAGGGGAGAAAGAAAACCAGATGCTATCAGACTTGAAAAGAATTCTGACACACGTACACAAAGGACTAGACTTAGCCACAATTCAGATCTCTTCTCCTTTTGCCTGTTGATGCTTAATTCTACATATAAAAGGGCAACTAGACCCGCTGTTTAGGCTTTGGTCTTTAATATAGAGGAACCTCCTTGCAGAAGTGATAAGCCTTGAATCCTGTTGAAGTTCCCTCAACTCAAAAGGCCTAATCCAGTACTTTTTTTTCCTGCATGGAAGAGTTTTCACCACACATCACAGGAGCAAGAATCCTCTACTCTTACGCTGCTGCTTCTTCTATAAAAGGCATTTTTCTTGTTTTTTCAAAGAAAATAGCCTGCTGAAGATGACTAGTCACGTACTGAGAAAGTCCAGCTGAGGTGAACAAGGGTAATAGTTTTCTCAGTTTAGACTTCAGCATGAAACAAAATCAGTTCAGTTGGACTAAATGGGCTTTTAAAGGCAAACAGAATTTAGCATTTCTCTTTCCATTTGGTTGTCTCGGTTTAGACTTTAGCATGGAATGAAACCAGTTTGGTTGGACTAAATGGATGTTAGAAGATAAATGGAATTTAGCATTTCTCTCCCCATTTGTTTTCTTTTGACCATGCACCAGTGGCATGTGCTCCTTTAACTGGAAAAGGTGTTGTTTGTAGCTGTCCTTGTAACTGTTTTGCAAGGCTTCACACACTGACCAGGGTGTCCCTAAACACAGGAAGGCAAGGCAAGTTTATTTCCAAGCCATTTAAAGGCATTACTGAAACAGTAACTTCAAGCAAAACTAAACTATTATAGCTGGTTTTGTGAAATCTCAAACACCATAAAGCAATAAAAAAATGACAATAAATTGCTTGAATACGGGTAAGAAAAACAGTCAGGTTCACCTCAGTTTGCAACTTCATGCATTTTTGTCTTCAGGCTAAGACAGTATGACAGTTTTTAAACTGCAGAGGCAATGAAGGTAATTATAGTTCTTTACTTGTCATGTCTGGAGGACAGTCACCTCAGCAGGGTTCCTTCCCGCCCCTACAGCACACTAGGAAGGCTTCTCAACTATTCCACAACAAGAATGGGTAGAGACGTCCTGGACCAACCACACGTACTCAGGGCACCCCTGCAGACCCTGTCGATACAATTCTCTCCTACATGCACCTCGTAAGATGCCCCCACAATGATACAGATGAGGAGATCAAGGGAGCAGGACCAAGGGAGGAATCTTTCAAGTAAAATTAAATCCTTTAGTGTTTTGTCCCAGTACAGCCATGCAGTCACACTATTTACTCTTCAATCAGCAATGAACCAAACAGCCACCCTGGATCTGGAAGGTACCAGTACCTGACCAAGGAAAGAGTCAGACGTCAGAGGCACTTGCTGTTGCCACATATTCAAATTACATTCCTATTCTGCATCCTACTCCAAAGACGTGGAGTAGTACACCTACGTGTACTGTTTGAAAGTTTCCTGCGCTACCTCCCTGACAAACACCCTAAACATGCTGTCTCAGTCACCTGAAGAGATAATCCTAGGACCTCTGCCACTCCGTGGTCTACCTCCCAGGAGGATCACAGCAGATGGTTAAGAAGTGAAGCATGCTGTTGGTAGGCCTTCCTCCTACGTTTTAGCGGGCAGAAAGAGAGAAAGGGTTTGTAAGCTGAGCAAGCAGAAAATCCCTGATCTTAGAAAGCAATAAAAAAAGGTGGAAACAATTCTGTCTCAGCTGAAAGGTCTCAACTGCCAGAAAACAGTGAAAGACAAGGCAAGTAGAAAGCAATTGACGTATCTTTCTTTACCACTTCATATTCCCTGATGGCAGCCTCAGTCTTCAGATATAGCACATCTTAACACGTGACAGGAGAACACCTCATGTAATGCCCCTTTCAGATACTTGTCTTGCACTTGGGTAGCTACCCATGTCATGTCAGTGATCTCAAATTCAGGGTCATGGTTTCCTCAGCTACTCCCAGTTGGAAACAGATGTGACAGAGGCAGAACAAAGCTATTAATAAAAAGCTGAATGTGGTTAACCTTGTGTTACTCTTTGAATGAATAGAGTTAGGACAGTATGAGAAGTCTTTTACGCACTGTAGGGCAGCACAGGGATGGAGAAGGTGTAGCTACTCAGTGCTGCACAGAAGACATACCTTGAGTAATGCGTGACAGTGAGGCACACAGACAGCTGGACCACTGACAGCTCTAAAGTGATGCACCTGGAGAAAAGCCATCCTAGCTAGAAAGAGATTACGATCGTTATGCCAGTGCATAAATCCACGATTTGTTCACTCCCTGAATGCTCTGCACCGCGCTCTGGTCTCCTGAGCTCAACCCCAGATGCGTTAGAATTACGAGAGTTTCAGAGAAAGGCAACAAGGGCAGCTAAAGGAACAGCTCCTGAGTGCTCACTGACTGGGGGGGTGGAATCCTCCCACCTAGGGAAAGACTCAGGCAGGGAAAAGGGGCACGGAGCAATGGATACAGGTCTGCTAAATCCCAAGTGGCACAGAGACAGTGGCTATGGACCAACTGCCCCTGCCAGTTACAGAATTAATGACTGTCACCCACAGAACTCCCTGCCAAAGTGTACTACAGATGCAAGGAACTTCCAGTTTGAGGGGAGACTGGACAAGTGCTTCAGAAGAGATCCAAAGTCACTGACTGGATCACACCAGGCCCAAGAAAACCTCCGAACTAAGAACATAACCTAGCAGAGGACTCAGAGTAAATATTAAACACTTTCTTTCTTCTTTCTCATTCCTTAGGCAACCACTTATTGCCAGTACTGTAGACAACACATTGTGCAAAATTAGACCCTCCATCTAACCACCATTACATTCAAGCTTTTGAAATGTAAATAAATAAATTCAAAAAGCAAGGCAATATTAGAAGAGTGTCTTTTCCCCTTAGTATGCCTCCCTGTAAGAGGAACCATTACCTCCCCTGCTAAACCACAACAACGTAGAGAACAAGGGAATTCCAAATTTCAGTTGCTGCAATACTCATTGACTCTGGTAAGATGTTCCAGGTCTTGAATATTCCAGTTAAGTCGTGATTATCTAAACCAGCCAGCAGCAGTGACAAGCAGGTGGCTCTGTTGTAGTCAGACACCTTATCCTAGCACAAAGGTCTATATCCCAAAACTTACTACACTGCATATTGGCAGAGGGAGGTCTGGGACATCACTTGCACCCTGACAATACAGTACCTGCAAGTAGCAGTTGCATGACTTCTTATTTATTTTAAAATATGAAACAGCTTTCTATTACTCACCTGAGCTTTGTTTTCCTGTCTACTCCAACAATTCTTCTCACAATTTGTTGGCAAAATCCATAGCACATGAACAGAACAGAGTTCTCCGCGATGTTGGCTACCAGCGCTGGTGTGGTTCCCTTGTAGAAGCCTCGAAACCCCACTTGCTTATAGGTTTTCACAAAACAGTCAACAATTCCTCTGTACATGTTGGGGAACGTCTGCATCTTCACCTTTGCAGTGTCAAAGGGCTGGCCAGTCACCACGCATGCTGTCCCACCTAAGCAAGCAGTAGAAATTAAGAGGGTGGCTGAAGGTTATCACAGCTGAAACGCCTATACAGAAACAGCACTATTAGGAAAATCATGCAGAAAGCAAAGAGGAAAGCATTCTCTGCAGAAAAAGACAACTGCACTGATTTTACCACACTGGCATCAATTGTCAGTGGTGAATTCATGGTTATCTGAAGAAAAAAAAAAAACATGCATAACAGCAGTAACAGCTTGATTCTTGTTAAATATTTCTTTACCTTACTAAAAGGGAGCATCTAAATGAATCAGTTCACTTACATGAACGGGTACTGAATTAGAGGTATTGTTCTGCAATCAAGTCACTTGTGTTAATGAGCTAAGCAAACATTTTCCCTTGCATATTAATGCAGTGGTTCAGAAGCCATCTGATTTTATGTTCCAACAATAACAAAAAACTGAAAGATTTGTAATCACGCGAGACAAAGATTCCCCCAGGAGATGAGGAACACTGCTGAGAGAGTACTAAAACTGATGATGCATTATAAATTGATAACAAAAGACTCAAGATCTTTACTTCATAACTCGACATGATTCTTTTTTACATTTACTCCCACGTACCAGACGAAAGCATCCAGGATAAGGTGAAAAAGGGCAAAAGGGCAAAGTTTCTCAACATGTTATCTTTTCCAAACTGAACTGTGAGGTCAATACCCTGGAAACTTGTGAGATATTTCCATCAATGTCATGAATAACCACTTCGCGGACAGTGCAGTGTTCTTCCACAAGATCTAACTCAGTTCAGTAGTCTGCAGAAAGAGCTAATGTTACACTTCTTCAGTAAAAAATACGAGCAATCACTTAGGAGCCGATACCTAACAGGAAGCATATGATAGGTGGATCTTATATCAACTTTATGGTTTTGCTTTTTTAGCAAGACAAAAACCATCCTAAAACAGAAGCTGACCTTTAACCAAAGCACACTTGACATGCGTATACCTTAAAGAGGGCAAGTTAACAAGATGTTTTCTCAGCTATGAAACTGAAACAATTATGTGTAAATGCAATGTAAAGAAGCCAAAATAGAAACAAATGTGTAAATCCAATTAAGATTAGTTATTTTTCTTCTAAGTGGGGAATAGAAGAGTAAACAAGTGTTTGCTTAACCAGTGATTTCCAACTGATTTTACTCTTTGCAAACCCATTTGTGTTACACTGTTGTTGCTCCTCTGCAAAGACATACTTCAGGTCTTTAAGCGGAACTCAAGGTCCTAGCTCCCATAAAACCTCATTCTCAATCAGATGGATCATTAAAAGCTTCAGAGCAAACCATGCAAGGAAGCATGAAGAGCTTCTTGCTCTAGGAGGGATAACCAAAGAGAGATGTCGCTGGCTCAGACCAGTAACATCCACGTAAACCGCAGATGAAAAGCAGAGCTGGAACAGCTCAGCCAATGCTACTTGCGGGCAAGTCAGGTAGATATTAATCTACAGGACAAATGCTAGGTTCCTGTGTAAAGGTAAACCTAAAACATCCACACGTAGTAAAATAACCGCTGTTGGAAGCAGCCCAGAAAAACCAGGAATGGTCTTTGGAATGCAAAGCTGAAAAGTTGGGAGCTGACCATGAAAGTCGTTCCAAAAACAGAAGAGGCTCTCCTCACACCGTCATTGGAGGTGGCACAAGAAGCCCACTAAACTACAGCCATGAACTTTGTAAGCCTCAAGGTAAAGACCAAGAGTCCCAGTTAATATCTAAAATACTAAAGAAAACAAAATTCTTCCAGCCAGCAGTAAAGAGTCTAAAAAAAAACAAGCAACAACAACAAAATCAAAACAAACCAAAAAAACAAAAAAAAGTCAGCCCTGCTTGAATGTTTAGACAAATATGGTCCTAATAACAACATGGGAATGGTGAGGAAGAGAGTCCTACTTAATCAAAGAAGTGATTAGAGGTTGCTCAGATCCTAGGCAGAGCACTAGGACCCACAGGCAGCTAAATCACTTCTTGTTCAGAATTTACTTGTCCCTACATGTCATTACTTATCAGCTAGTCAAGACTCTATCTGGAGAGGAAGGTAAAACCAGGTTACGCATTTGCTGGAGGAATTAGCTGTTTGCTTAGTTACAATACACCTTCTAAAGGGTGCAGAGACATATGTGACACAGAAACAAGCACTACCAGTGAACACAGGCAATACACAGCAAGTATGTGGAAAGAACTCGGAAAATAAATACTAGAGCAACAGTAAAACTATCTATCACAACAGAACTAGCAAAGAAAAAATGAACAACAATAATGATTTAGGATTATTGAAGTCATGTTGAAAAAGGTCTGAATCCCTTTATCTTATTTGAAGGAGGAACTATGCCAGCGAAGAAACCAGCAGGATTAGTTCCAAGATCCTCAAAGCTCTACTGCCAAACACCAGGCAAACCTCAAACGCATGCCCTGTTAGCCTGAATGTGGGCACAGAACAGCCTCACCAAGCAAGATATCTAAGCTAATGCTCATTTCCAGCTCTTGTAGCAGCCAAGATGAGAGACACCAGGCTTCAACTCAGAAAGACAGCTCCCTAGGCCAAAGGCCTACACGGCCCTGGGTGGTAACAGCAGCATTCTTGAGCTGAAGTACCACGAAGGAAAGCAATCACGGCTCCCATTTAAGCACCTGGAACACCTCCAAAACCATCAAGAATGACACAGATATTAAGTTGCTTTTTGAGAAATATGTATTTGGGAAACAGAGCAGATATAATAGCTATTCTTTACTGAGGACTCAAAAACCAGGAGACTGAACAGACTAACAGAAACATATTTTTTCTAGGGCAATGAAGGAATAACAGCAGAAACACTTCTCATCCCTCGCAGGGAAAGAAGGTGTTATCTAGTCAATAACGTGTTTTCGAGAGGCTAACCAAGCAGGCATTCACTGGGAAAAATGTGGTGGCAGATGAAATGCTTTATGAATGTGCCACACTGGACACGTTATCTGTCACCCCTTAATTTCTCACTGCTCTAAGGTTACCTCCACTCTGACAAATGACCTCAAATAATCACCCTTGAATGCTCTTAACACCATTAATACTGCCACATTCACAGCATTAACACCGTCATAAAAGGACTGACTGTAATAGCTATTGCATAGGAAAGAATAAAACATGGTATTGTTCAAACTGGTTACAACAGTACATTAGACAAATCTTTCCTTCTGCCTGTTCTGTATAAACATTGTCAGCTTAGAAATGCCAGAATGACCCCTTTGCCCTCGTAGAGTTAAAAACCAATTCATCCCTCAACCACGGAGACTACCAACATGGTAATGTCAGCGAAACAACACGACTGCTTCCACGTTTGTGACCGTTGCAACTGGTCCAGCAAAAGTTCATAGCACAGACTAGACCAAAGTGGAAGTTAGTTAAGTGAATTCATCATTATTAGCCCTACTGAGCTTCCCAGTTTCTAAAGCTTCACACCGAGATGCTGTCTGAGCCAACAACCCTTCAGACAGCCTCTTGCCCCTTCCAATTAGAGGGGGTTCCTGTGACAAAAGCAGCACCTCCATCACTCGCACACTGTTTGAGTTCATTCCAAAACTCTGCTTGTGACTCATCCTTAAGCTCATGGAAGCACGAGAACACCGAAAATTAAACCTCCTCCTGGAAAACTATTAGCCTGAAATAAGGGTTGCACCTTCACTGTTTGGCAGGGGTTTCACCAGGGAGGAGTGACAGTGATGCAGTTACAACACTGGCCGAGGTCAGCTGTGCGTCACCTCCATATCCTTAAAATACAGCAGGCAGGCGAGGCTTTTTATAGCAGTGGTTGTCAAGGCTACTAAAACTGTCCCTCGGAAGTTTTGTGCAATGAAGTTCTCTCCAGCATTACCTGCAGCTCCTGCTGTGAGGTCAATAGCAGCCTGAATAGCAGAGTTTATCCTCATGCTTCACGCTTGTTTATCAGCTGCTTCAGAGCGAAGTCTCCTGTTCCCTGGCAGGTGTCGAGATACTTGTCTCCTGAGGGAAGAGAAAGGCAAAGCATACACATTTTACAATAACTCTGTCAGGCAAAAGCATCACACAAATGCTTTCACTTCCACTCTTCCATTTAGCTTGTTCCAAACCATTTAGAGATAGAAAATGCTTGTCCCCAGGACTGGGACGTAACATATCTGTATTTTGACTGACGAGTTTTGCCACATTAGGCAAGTCCTCTGGAGTACCACTGCCTAGCTTCAGATTACTTGGGCCTTCCAGCTTCTAGTCTCCCTGGATCTCCCAAATGAAAGCAAAGAGCACCTCCGGGGAACACGTGCTGAACATTACTGTTCTACTGATTATAAAGGCATAGTTTCCACCAGGTATCTAAGGCTAGCTGGCAGGAAGATGTCCATCCCCTAACCCTGTCTCAACTCCCCACAAAGCAAACAGAGAATCGCTCTCCCCACGGTGAACAGCAGCTAAGAAAACTATTCACGGCAATACAGACACATCATGTATTTCTATGTGGTTCTCAGAAGATACGAGAAAAAAGGAATGAGTATGAACATCTAGCATTGCGTATGGACCACATCCTTGCTAGAACTTCTACATTACAAGCATAGACGCTTGCATACAAGTAAGGCTTTAAGAAAGCCGGTCTCTAAACATATTTATTATTCCTGAAGCTGAAAAAAAAAACCCCCAGTAGGCCAAATACTGTCACTCAGTAACTTCAAGTGTCCGGTCTGTTTAAGATGTGCTGCAGGAATCCGAATGCAATGGGTTTAGAAAAAATACTCTTGTAATAAACGACACCAATACCTGCTGTTTCCGAGTTGTGGTTACACATTCGAACCGTTTCGCTACCGACAGCGCAGTATGCCAGCTGCTATTCCAGAACAGAGGCTCCAACACCAAGCTGCACTTCGTTATCCCCTACACCTTGTTCGCGTTCACACAGCTCTCCGCAGTTTTGCTTCAGGTTTGGAGGCGGAGGACACAGCCTCTGAACGACGGGAATCACCAGCGAGCAGCAACTGCCCGCCCTCGGTAAAACGCAGCCGGGCAGCACCACACCAAGCGCCCACCAGCGCGTGCCAGTCCCCACCGGAAGCACGTGCCAGACCCCCCACCGACACCCACCCAAGGCTCGGTGACAGCAGCAAAAACAAAGATGCCTACAAAAATATGGACGTCCCAAGAGCCAAAGAAGTTTAGTTTCCTGGTCCACAAGAGCTCATTGCCACTTTCACAAAATTTAAGACTTATTCAAAACTGCACCGGTATTATACACGCACAAACCTTCCCTCCTATTTTTTTCCCTACTTGTGGTAACCGCAGCAGACTAAAACCCGCCC